TACAGTGCCATGGCCTGCAATGCAAATAGCAAAGACAGTGTCAATGTGAGCTGCAGGACACATGGTGAAAGAGAACAAAGAGTCTCTTTAAGTCTCATTGTACAATTTTCTTTTGCATATCTTGAATTGATTTGCTTCAGTTAAGTAGAGGGGGAAAGCAAAGGCCAAACACAAGTGCTATTGGAAGTGAGGTAAACCTTCATTTCATTGCTTTAGCTTTAGTTAGGTTAGTGAACTACTACTGTACAGTATGGGTAGCATATTCAGTTACACTTACACAGCAGTTCCACATCCAGTCCTGTCTGTTGGCAGCACCTGGTTGCTGCTTAACATCCTCCTGGATTATGTTCTTCATATATGGTTACAATCTATAGTGTCATTGTGATTGGTCCAAACTGTATGTAAATCCATTATGTTGCTCTATTCAGTACACATGACATCTATTGCATGGCTGTCTGTCTCTTCAAGCTACAGTTCAAATATTTCTGTTGTAGAAATCTGTTCCAAAACTTGTCTTAATGTGGAGAGGTGCTGTCAAAGCCTCCTCTGACCCAGACTCATCGAACAGCACTGGCAGTAGTGCAGAAATATTAGCTTCTAAAATGTTTTGAGCAGGATTTGGAGTTTCATGATATTGCTACCTTAAGTTTCATATTGTAAATTTATTGAGGTTCTTCTATGTTTTTGTTGTATTAAATGCTTTTTAAAGTTTTGCCTTATTGAGGTGAAGAGTCTAAGGACAGAGAAGGTCAAATACACAAAATGAACTATAGTGCCCATGTTCGTCACTATGAAGGCTCGTGTTATCTAGTGCAACAATGAGACATCAAGGTCTGTGCACATAAGAATAAGTTATGATCAGGCTTTGATTATACAACCATTTTTTTTTTATAGGAGTTTGTATTTGGTTGGGTTCTTTCCATGGGATTTGTTGCCAATAGACAATATATATGTCACCACAGTTATCTTTTAAAATCAGGGTAACTGGGCAGATACTGTTGGCACAAAAAGAAAAGAGTATCTCAATACATCACCGTCGTACTTAAACACCAACACTAGCTAAACCAGGTAGTATAAAACTGGGTATAACAAAAGGTGCGTTTGACAATAACCGAGACAAGATAGAAAACTGCTCTCTCTCTCTTTCATAAACATTACCTCTGTGTGTCTATCTGTATGCTGACAAAGATATGAGGACACTGATAGCAGTTGCCTACATGGGATTTGAGTGTTGATGTATAGTACAGTTTCCTGGAAGATATCCTGTTAGTCCATCAGTAAGAACTGCACTTCAGCATGTTGATACAGCCCGCAAAGCTGATACTCAAATATAATAACAGCAATGATGTCGCTTTACTTTCCTACAGAGCATCTCTCATTAAAAACGGGAATGGAAAATAAAAGAAACGGTTGACTAGTTTGTACTTTAAGTAAATTGCAGAAGCACAAAAGCCATGCTGTACAACCATAAAGTTAAAACGCAACCATAAAGATTGTATCATTTCATTTTGCTTCGGCAAGGCGAGACTCTGAACTGGCAGAGTGGAAGGCCATTTGGAATTTGCCCAAGCACCATATCAACTCAGTGTTATAGCTGAAGAGGAAAGATTTTATAATGGCAACACAAGGTTGTCATGAAACACATAAGGCCTGGAACACACCAAATGTGGAAACAGGGGTTGTGCAAGAATGGTAAAATTTGCATCATCATTGTACATGGTGTACCATTCTAGCTTTAGCACTGATAATGTTTGATGGCGTTTGAGAGGCGGGAAAAATCCATGTTAAAATCTGTCTTAACAAGGCCATACAAGTTTTTAATAAATAAAGATCAGATTTGTTTCTACTTTTGGTCACTTGATCAACACAAGTTTCATTTGAGGCGGGAAAAATCCATGTTAAAATGTGTCTTAACAAGGACATACAAGTTTTTAATAAATAAAGATTAGATTTGTTTCTACTTTCGGTCACTTGATCAACACAAGTTTCATTTTAGCGCTTTATTCATACTGGATTTCAGTGTTAGTTACAGAAAGTGATCATTTTAACATGCACACCCAAAAGGCAAAGCCTGGGGTTTAGCATGAACTGTAAGACTGTACAATGTCTACCAGAAAATGTAAGCGCCAAGCTCTTCGCTGCTGCACACCACCTGGAATGCAGCTGGTTAACAGCCAGCACACAACAGACAGCTCATGGAAACTGTGTGGACTAGGACTACAATGTTCCCTTTGTGCTAAAATCAAAACAGTCCTTGTCCACCTTCTTTGAAGAACAGATACAGGGTAAGAATATTCAAGCAACAGTGAAGGTTAATCCTCACAGGGGCAACATTTATATTTGGCATCTGCCAGATTTCAACACCATCATCCTGTGGCATGGTCTTGACAGGATGAGAGCACAGTGCACGTTTCCCACAGGAGTGTAGATGCAGGCGTTCAGAAGGCCCGGGGGCCAAGACCCAGATTACTTTCTAACAAAACACAGAGCCATAGAGCTGGGGCCTGTCCTCGGTAATACACAAGGGAATCATAGCCATCAGGAAATCTCATTTAAATAAAGACACACAAAACTAATAATAATTGATTTTCTCTGTTTCAAAGACAGATCTGGGCCTAGCATGTAAAAACAGGCTCCTTAGAGAGGTTTCAAGTTTTTTCCCTTAACAACAGCAAGTTAAAATGGTCACTGTATGATTTTTGCCAGTTTGTGAAGAGGAAATGAACACAGGGAACATGCTGGGAAAGGAAGCACTGGCAACTATGGAAGCAACATGAGAGCAATTGATTTAAAAAAAAAAAGCATCGACTGAACAAGGTGGCATGTGCACACAAAAGGACACAGACACACACTGAAACACAATGGCACATTCAGTACAATCACAACACAGGCTATACAGGCAAACCTGTTGAAAAGGCAGATAGAGAGAGGGAGAGCAGATAAAGGAAGGAAAGAGTATAAAGAACTAGTTCTGTATGAAATAATGTGATTTACAGAAAATACAACCTGTAAACAATTATCTTTTTGTGTAAGAGATACACATTGAAACGACAAGGTTAAAAAAATTTTTGAACTTCCAGTGTTTCTTCTTAACACATTTCAGAGCTGAACGTGACAGGCAGCATCATCTGGTCACTGTCATCACCGCAGGGCAGCATGACCAGAAAGAGAAATACAAGAAAAATGCTGGGGATATGAGACATGATGGCACCTGAGACACATTCAGTGCAAATACTCAAGCAAACAGCAGATGCCTAGCCTACTTTGATGTCTGAGTGGCATCCTGCTGGACGTGCATTAAAGCCTTCACCATAAATGTACTGGTTATTTAGGCTTGATAAAATGTTTAAAAGAAGCTGCACCTTCATTTATTTTTTGATTTAAATGTTTATTTCACTTGCTATCCACCTGCATTTTGTCTTTTTTTTTACCCATACCCATGAAATAATATTAATATTTTAATATTTTTTACTTGTTGCACATCATTTTTTTGCTAGTAGCCATCGGTACCCGACCCAGTGCAGGGGTTTATCTCTGACTGCTCCTGTAGTATAACAGAACTAGTTTCCTTTGAAAAGTTGTCATTTGAAGTGTTTAGATTCTTTATCAGTGCCAGTCATGGCAGTCAGGACAACCTGACTAGATGTAGTTCAGAAACTGATTTCAAATATACAGTAGGACTGTAGCAATTGACGTTCTTCACACAATGTGTCGGGACAGGGGGATCCACAGCTAATATTCCCACAGTGCTTAGCTCTGTTCCACTGCCCATCAGTCACAACAGTTTTCTGAGGACAGAACGTATGAGTGAATATTAAAGATGTGTGTTGGTGGGACAGTGGAAGGGGTTACAGTGTTCACTTGGGGATTCACGTATTCCACCCTGTTGCCAAACCTAACAAGGCTTTGAAAGTCTGACTTCGTGAGATGACTCCAGTCTCAGGAGAAATTTAGGATCATCATGACTCCTCGAGAACAAATTGACAAAATGAAGGCTGGCAGGATTTGCTCTCACACAGTTACAGGCGATGCATCACATCTAATTGGATACTAAGGAGAGCTGAAGGTGATTCACACACAGTCATCCAACAACATGTGACTATGCCTGTCTATAATCTGCTCTTCCTTAAATTTGCACAGGAATAATGTCATCATCTTATGGACAGAGCATCTGAGCCCAGATCAGTTCTGCACAGGCATTTTTACTTGATCAGAATGAACACCACAGGTAGCTAATCATGTGTTAAGCTAGGGCTTTTGATCTTAGCTGACTTCCCCTTTAGTACTGGAGGAATGAAACAACAATTACAGTATCTTACTGTATCTCTCAAGTTCCCAGATCTTTGCACTGCTTTTATGTGTATCAAAAATTCTGAATTTAAAGTGTTTCTGTTGGTGTATAAAGTACTGAATGGTTTAGGGGGAATCACCCGTTTTTAGCCCAAAACTAAGCAGTAGTTCCTATGCTTCACATATATGGAACACAAAATAAACATATCAAGGAAGTAAATAATTGAACTACTCAATATTCTACTTAGCATGCCTGTCACCATTAGATTCTACAGTACAGTCCAATCACTGGTTGTATGAATAGGATTGACATGGTCTGGCATCAAACATATTCATACATAGAGATGCCAAAGATTAAATTTATGATAGATCTTGTAGTTTAACCAAGACTTATTTATGGGATGATCCTGTTTAATAAAGGGGAACACATGCAGGACACAAAACACCAGAACATCACAAACAGCACTGACTGTAGGTACTCAACTCCAAAGTAACCCTAAACAGAAGTGGCCATTGAAAGAGATTATCTAATATTTGTTTCTATGTTTTTATGCTGAGGTTCTCTGTGGATGACTAGAATAATAATCAGGAACGTGCTCAGAGTATTTTACACGCTCTCCTCCTCATGTACTGAACCGGTACACTGATTTACATACTTTGCTATCATTGGTTACGTGCAACGGGCTGCCTTCAACCGATTGGTTGGAGCTCCAGGGGGGCGGGGACGCTGTCTCACCAAAACAAGGTAGCGTGATGGGTCAGAAACGCAGATAGGGATGTTTGACAGAAAGGTGCTGTCAACTTAAAACCACTGGCAGGTGAAAAGAAAAGGAAAAGCTGAAGCTGACAAAGACGAGTCCTAACAAACCGCTGCGGGAAGATTCTCTCTGAGAAATATTTACAAGGTAGACGTCGGTGGAAAGTGTTGTAGTGTCCGTTTTAGAGCAGCTTTTATGGCCACAGAGAGGAAGTGATTAAAAAGTGAGGAGTTTTTCTTTTCTCATTTTGGCCGGAAAAAAAGCCAGCATGTCTCTGGAGGTGAAGGAAAAGACCCAGGTGCGTATAGTGTTTCTGGGGGCAGCAGGTGTGGGCAAGACAGCCCTGATCCAACGCTTCCTCCAGGACACATTTGAGCCCAAACACCGGCGCACAGTGGAGGAGCTACACAGCAAGGAATATGACATCGGTGGGGTCAAGATCACTGTGGAGATCCTGGACACCAGTGGCAGCTACTCCTTCCCCGCCATGCGCAAGCTCTCCATCCAAAACAGCGACGCCTTCGCACTGGTGTACGCCGTGGACGACCCGGAGTCACTGGAGGCTGTCAAGAGCCTTCGAGATGAGATACTGGAGATCAAGGAAGACAAGTACACACCCATCGTGGTGGTGGGGAACAAGGTGGATCGTGAGGGGGATCGTCAGGTAGCCAGCGAGGACGTGCTGTCAACTGTAGAGCTGGACTGGAACAACAGTTACCTGGAAGCTTCGGCCAAGGAGAACGCCAACGTGGTGGAGGTGTTCAAGGAGCTGCTGCAGCAGGTTAACCTTCCCAGCCACCTCAGCCCCGCGCTACGCAGACGCAGGGAGACCTTTCCGAAAGACACTGATTTTCGGCCACCCATGAACAAGACCAACAGTTGTATTCTGTCATAATGGGAGACGTTTTGTTTGACAGATGGACAGGGGTTGAGAAGACAGAGGGCATGTTGTTAAACCTAGTGGTGCTGGAGAGAGAAGGAGAGGAACGCCTGGACTTCACTGATCGTCGGTGTAAAGTTGGAGAGCAGCCTGATTGTGAGAAGTGAACTGGACCAACAAAGATACTTCAGGGTTCATAACTGAGAGGAAAAGAAACCAGGGAGCAGAATGGGATTAAGACTGAACTGAAACACAGCGCCATTAGGATATTTAAGGAAATGTATTAAATCAAGTGGAGAGAAGAAACATGCATTAATTACTCAGTTGTTTACTTGATGTAATGTAGTTGCTGCCCATGTGGTGAAATGCTGCTGGTGTTTAGATCAATGTCTAAATTCTGAATTTTAAAGTAAAATGTTCAAGTACATCAAGGTATTTGAAGTGTGTGTATATATGTTGTGATTTGTCCAAAAGTTGTACCTCTCATGCAAATTATTTTAATTTACTTAATTCACCTGTAGCACATCATATTGTTTACAATTTTTGTACTCTTGCAATTTACCATTAAGCGTGATGTAACTCTTATGTAAAAAAAACGGTGAAATGCAAATGTAAACTGTAAATGCACTTTTCATTCTGAAATGACCATTCAAAATTGTTTTCATGTTGTTTTTATAAATTAGAATTATTTTTTTATTGTGACAAATGTTGTTTTGCTCTGTATTTAACAAATGTAAGTGAAAAGTGGATTTCAATGTGTAATAAAAGACAAAAGCATAAAATAAGCTGAGTGAAATTTAAATAACCACACACACACACACACACACATATATATATATATACATATATAGCTGCAATGATGCTTGTTGACCTAAAACTAAACTAAATCTGACAATACATTTTTGAGCACTGCTCCCTTCACGGGCTTCATGGTTTTGGGTAGGACACACTCTATCCATTAAGTCTAAAATGTGACAACCTAAGTTAATATGTTCCAACCAAAATCTTAGTAAGTATTCAGTTTATTGCAATAAGTGACAAACTAGTAATTTAGTGTGACCTGAAGTCAATTAAATGCAAGAGTCTGGGCTCTTCTGCATCCTCTGGTAATATAAGATCTCTGTTGCCACCTAATGGTGAAAGAGACACAACATTCAATTCAACTCGGTGTGTCTACGTTGTGTATGTGCCTATTGTGGTTGCCTCTAATGAGGCTTCAACCTAAAACTGTGAACTTCAATCTCAACTCTAAGGCCCAAAAAGTTTGGCTGATGATGAAAATGAGTACATCTCAAGTTATAAAATGTTTTAATTGGTAGCTTTTTTTTTTTTTTTAAATTCAGGAGTCCAAACAAATTCCATTCAGTTCCTTCTCTCTTAAGTTTCATCACTGGTGGTTGAAAGAACATGTGTTGATAGGTTATTATTGTCCGTCAGTCCAGACTGACACCGTGTACACAAACCGTTTATGGGCAGCTACATTGTGCAACAATACTGGACATTCTGAGCCATAAAACAAACTTTAGCTTAGAGAAAACAACTGAAACATCTGGGATCAAATCACAAACATTTTTCACACCTCCTTATTCCTACTTAAGATGGATGAGCATCAGTTAGTGCGGCTGTGTAAATGCTGCTAACTAGCTCAGGCCTGAGTCTGATTTAAGTGCCCTTGACTATCACAGTATTTGAATATTAAGAGTTCTGCAGTACTCCTGTCTAACCAGTTGAGAAAACGGATCATTGTATAGTTCCTGAAATAGCTGTGCACGGTTCCCCTAAACGCAACCTTTCGAGCAGAGACAGTTGTAGTGCTTAGAACAAAGACACCCCCCTCCCGCCAACACTCCATCAGATTACACTGAACCAAGTTTCCTGTTTTAATTTGAGGAAGTGGCCGAGCAAACGTTTGCGGGCAGTTCCTCTTTCAGTCCACATTTAAACATTCTTCCGCACTCTGCTCTTGATCATTTGCGAAGGGATGGAGGCCTAGCAGCTTCACAGTCACACAGGTGTGTGGATTTGTCATCTTGTAACAGAGTTCTGCTTTAATATGGGTCTGAGGATTTCAGAAGAGCCAATTTACACAGATAAGAGAGGCAGATCTTACCTAAGTGTTACGTTCATTAGCACTCAATGGTCAGATTTTAGCTGCAGTGAGGGAGGCTATTCATGAGACTGACTCGGCTTCTTAGATGTCTGTGCTCCTGGACTTGGTCAAAGCTCCTCAGCAGATTAAAGTGACTCTGAGGCGTTTAGAACAAGTTCAGGGTCCTGGACAGAACACAGCAAGATTAGTCAACAGAGAAATGAAATGTCAGCAGTCTGTGTGTTGTCTGTATACAAACTAAGCAGTATTTAGGTAACTGTAGAATGTGTCTGTATTTACTCTGAGCCTTTCTGTCACATGTCAGTGTATGAATTCCAACTCCAAGTGAATCATTTATTCAAACTGCCAGTCAAAAATGGGAATCACTACTTTTTACAACTGAATTTATATATGAAAAATATCACCAAAGATGTAATTTTAAGACTATTTAACTGTGATTTATATATTGTAGGACTGCAGTACATATGAAATCACAACAATTGTACTTGAAAATGGACTTCCCATCTAATTAATTTACCAGGCATACAAAGGTTAATTTACCTTGTTAGATAAGTCACACATGCAGAGCAAAAATTATTAAAACTTAAATCTATTTCTTGTATCATATTATATTTCTTGATTAGCACTGCACTGTATAATATACTGCAACCATAAAATGCCAGAACACAAGAGTTCTTTTGCACAAGCTCAAACTGTTTTATGACTAGTACTTTCATCAAACTGCTTCTGAACACTGCAGTGTGATATTTCATGCTTTTCTATGCTTCATAAAGCAGACGGGACTGAAACAGCTACTGAAAGTTTGAGTTCAGGTGTGAAGCCACTGTAGCGCACTTTTCTGAGAGTTCCACATACTGTATTTCTTCACACTTCCACTGCTAAATGCAAACCAAACCTGCACTTTAAAACGCCAGCTGTGGTGCTGTGCTAATTTTATCCAGTTACTTTAGTATATCCAAGCAAATAAGAAAACGAGAAAGATCTTCTAGTCAAAAAAGAAGGATAGCTTTATTAGTCAAATTCTACAGCAGACCTAGAGGCTGCTGTGTGTGTTTCCAGGCACATATTAGTGAAGTAGAACAGTTTGTATTGTTTGTACAGTCCCACCGTCTTAACACATCAGAGAACTACAGCAGAGTATGTGACATATAGTAAATAGAGCCAGCATCGATCTTCATGTTTATCAGCAGAACACACAGGAACAGCAGATTAAAACACACTAAACCAGATTCTTGGTCCTCAGTGTGTGCGCTCTGTAATGTGTTTGCTTTGTGTGTACAGGAATGTAAATGTACGTGTGTGTTGCCTCAGTCGTCCATGGTGATGTTGCGTAACAGATAGGCCATGGACTCTCCATTGTGGGTACGGCGGATGGCCTCAGCCAGGATCAGACTGACATCCACCGTTTTGATTTTTGGACACTGCAACTTCTGCACCTCATGAGGAACAGTGTTGGTCACAACAACCTGGAGGTGGAACACAACAGCCTTAGTCTAGTTGTGTCAGGGCTGTTCTCCCCTGACTCTAGTCTCTCAGGCAGTCATACAACTTCCTCTCAAGTCAAAACTGGCAAATTATAAGAGCGACTATGGGGCTTTTTCTGAACTTGACTTTTTAAATCACTTTATACATCTGTACTTCTAAAGATGAGTGAGGTGGAACATAGCCTAGGAATAAGAGATGCATGACAAATGCTGCTGTAATTTTTTTTAAACTCCTACATCCATGTTCTCTCCAGTTCCACACAATACACTAAATAACAATTATGGACAAATTGAGCATAAAAATATGAAGTGATTCATGTCAGAGTTGATGCCACTCTGTTTCAGAAATTGCAAGACAAATCAATATAGTGTAAGAAAACAAGAGAGAGGCATTTGCAGAACTGATTCATTATGCTTTTCATTTCTGAGGAGGAAGGTAACATTCCAATTCATGTACATTAATCAGGAAGGGATTTTACCTCATCTATTGCAGACTCCTCTATTAGCCTAGGTGCCTCTGCAGACAGGAGGCCATGTGTAGCCATGATATAAATCTTGTAGGCCCCCCTCTCCTTCAGGATTTCTGCTGCTGCAACAAAGTCCTCCACATCATCGATGATGTCATCCTGTGTTACGGATCACACAGGGGACAGAGCTTGAAGTAGTACTCAGATTATTTGCTTAAATAAAAGTAGCAATACGACACTGTAAGAATGCTCTGTTACAAGTAAAAGCCCTGCATTCGAAATGTTACTTAAGTAAAAGTACAAAAGTATTAGCAGAAAATAGATATAAAGTACCAAAAGTGAAAGTAATAATAATACAAAGTGGCACAGTTTACATTGATGTAGATCATATTATTCAATTATAAATACTGATGTATTGTTGGGAACACCACATTTAATGTGGCTGCTGGTAAAGGCAGAGCTCATTTTAAATACCTTATATGCTTATTATTTGAATCACTGCTGGGCAGCTTGTGGATTTTCCATCAAGGATCAATAAAATCTTATGGCAATACTGTATTTTGTTTAATTATCCTCATTCTGAAAAGTGACTAATAACTAAAGTTTTCAAATAAATGTAATGAGTACAAAATACAATATTTTTCTCTGAAATGTAGTGAAGCTGAAGAATGAAGTAGCAGAAAATGAAAATACAGCTGTTGCCAGTGCCCTGATGTGTATCTTGGCATACCACTGCCCCCTACAGGCCAATGGAATAGTGTCACACCACTGCCAGGAAGGTGTATCACATCACCCAGCTGCCAAGAGGTAACAAGCAAGCATGCCTATGCTTGTGTAGAAGACATTAATTTTAGCCTAATGATTAATATATGCAAACCTCACTGAAGTGAGAGTGACTTCAGAAAAGTCACTTTGTGCACTGTTTGTATTGGAGGTTTCATTTTAAAAGAATAAAATGGCCATTTTAACCCATCGATCTACACTCAGTAACCCATAAAGTGAAAACATGTCTTTAGAAGCATTTGCACAAAAACTGAAATCTGATTTAATAAAGTGCTGCAGTATTTCACCCAGTGAAAATTAAATCCACAACACAATAAAGTGTGCAAAAAGAATATTTTCTGAAGCCACTACAGATAAATAATTAAAGCCGTTCCTTGCCCTGTATCTTTGTAGTACAGCTGTTTTCCGAGATCCAGTTTCAATATGAGGAAAATAGTTAAAGAAAGTCATGAAAAAGCTCAGGGTCTTACAACAATTATGGCAATCCTGCCTCCCACATCTCCGACAACAGTGATAGGCGGCTTCTCCTTTGCCATCATCACTGAAAGACACAGAAGAGGAAATGTTTTCAGGACACAAAGTGAGCTCTGTCCTGCAACCCCCAATCAGGAGGTGAGGTAAAGTTGAGAAATTTGGTGAGAAGGCATGTGGCTAAAACCTGTAAACATCATGCAAGACAGCTGTACCCCAACAAGCTCACAGCACAAATCCAATGACTGAAGGCCAGTGAGACTGTTGAGACTAAGTTACATTAGAAGAGGTTTGAGCTGAATTCAAACCAAGTGTATATTGTCCAGTTGGTACAGTGGTAGATGGCCAAGTGGGTGCAGAACTGAGTCTTTTTTAGGAACCACAGGATTGGTTATTGTTTACAATCCAATCAAACACAATTTTTGACAGATTATAGCAAATAATGTTAAAGAAAAGAATAATTTATCTTGGAACTCAAGTATAGCTGCCAAAGCTAAGACCACTCAGCTACAGCAAACTACCAGAAGGTTAGAAGTACTGAAAGGGATTTTAAGTAATAATTAATAATAAAACAAAAGAAAAACAGCAAGGCATGTTAAGAGGTCATTTTAAATTCATCACAGACAAATCCAGCAAGGCCTCTGTGCAGAAGTTTTAATATTTTTAAATGGTCACACATGTCTGGATTGGAAAGGAGTCAGGATACTAAAATCAAAATGAGGATTTTAACCATAAAGATTTAGCAATTTCTGAGTCCACAGATATTTCAAGAATAAAGATACAATAATGAAAACAACAACAACAAAAAAATCACAATGGTCATGCCAGGATATTGCTGCTTGGCATGTCTCTGATGAAGTACTGACTGAATGTATGGTAGTAAATCTCCATTTGAGGGCACACAAACCAAATTTCAAGTGCTACTTGGTTTGCAACTCGGCACTAGTGAGCACGCAGGCACAGATTTAGAAGAGCAGACGCAGACTTGAGAGCATCATCTCATTTTGGAGTCTTCACTCATATATATTTCTAAAGTGGGTTTTGTGTGAAAGTCTGTCGGCTGCAAAAGTTTTGAGTGGGATTCAGTTTGCAAATCAGAATGTGAGAGTGTGCAGGCACAGATTTGGAAGAGCAGAACCACTTCTGAGAGTGAAGGACGATCCCTGCTGCTCGTTGAAATCATCTGTTACGCTCATGATTCTGTCCGCACTCGGTTCTCAAATTCAAATATGCAAACTGAAGCATGCTCGCTATGTGTTTTGTGCACTTTCAAAACTTCTGGCACAGACGGACTTTCACATAAATCCCAGTGGAGAAAATCTTAAAACGCAAATTTAGAAACGAGTGCACACATAGCTGGGATTACGCTCTCAAGTCTGGTGCTTACAAACCTGTGCCTGCATGCTCTCAAATGCTGAGTTGCAAACTGAGTAATGCTCGAAACATGGCTCGTGCACCCTCAAATGTTTTGATGTGGATTTACTTCCATATTAATGAATTATCTAGTCCATACTCAACAGTAAGAGTCATTACAAATAATGCTATTCGATTATGTAGTATTTCTCACTATTTTTACCACTTCAATTTTAATACTTAGAAGTCTGTGGGTTTCACATACATAGTGATGGAGATGACTCAAATTGCTTGTCACAGTTTCTCACCCAAGCAATAATTTATATCAATCATTTCTGCTACAAGGATGTAAGGCTGAGGGCTTCCAACCATTCTCAGGCACTTGGGGGAAAACAGCTTTTATTTTATGGTCTAAGTGTGTGTCAGTGTATCAGCACAGTGCGGCTCCTTGCTAATAAAATCTATATAAAGTATTTTCCAAAAAGCAGACATAAAGAGACAAATGCTGGAGACCATCAAAAGACAAACTGCTTGGCTTTATCAGCAACATCTACTGTGCTGACAAACCAGTTTCATTCTCTCAATCTGAATTTCTTTGCAAAAGGAATTGCCATTTTGACCCACGTCTGTCAACAGATCTGACTGGCTATGAGGACACAGCTGGAAAAAACAAAGTATGTCCTGATTTACAACAATCAGTAAAAACAAAGATCTAATAAACCCTGAGAAAGGAAGCATCAGAATCAGAATTATAAATGCCTCTGTGGTTCTTCACCAATCCAAAAACTGATTCATTATCACACAAGTCTTTTTTACACTAGCATTGTATAGAGATATTTAACACCTGTTAAAGAATCATTGTCAGTTTAATCTTGGTCTCTTCTTGTATGTCCAGATGTAAAATGGAGTGGAAGCCCCCAGTAACTCGCTGTCATTTCATGCAGGGAGAACAAACAACAGGAAGCATAAATGGATTCAAGCATTATACTTGGGAGCTCTATCCCAGGGAATGGGACAAGATGTCTGCTGTTCGCTGTGGCAGAAGACAGGATGGTACAAAACAAACTAAAAGAAAGACATACATACATACAACAAACACAGAGAACATACTGAGAACAGAGTCCCCATTTTGAACCCCAAAGTAATTGTATTCAGAGGTAAGAAGTCTTTCTGTAACATGAACTGACACATATTCAGTGAATGTTTAAAGGCAGAGAGGGGCAGTTGGAAGGAGTGTGATTCACAGCTCCTACTTGAGAGGTGAAAGACCAGGCTGTCAAAACAAACAGAGGGGGTGGGGTGGGAGGTGTGGTGTAAATTCAGGTGAAAGGAGAGTGGACAGGACAAGACTCAGATGAGGAAAGTAAAAACAAATCTGGCTGAGGTAGAAAAAGGGGCCAATGTCAGTCACTGCCTGCAGTATTTCAACAACACCTGAAACATGCTGTGTGCTACTGCAGTATCAGCATGGTCATCTCTATAGATGATCACCAAAGGCTGGTGAGTTTTTAATGTTTTAATCGTTCAGGGACCTAAATTTTTGCTGTATGATTTCTATGTGGCTGGAGACAGATGCCATTCATAGGTCTCGTAGTCCGATGCTCATACAGTTCAAGGCTCAAGTGCTCTAAAGTCAGTCTCACATCAATATGCAAATAATTTACAGAGTCAATGGCTGCCGAATGTTACAGAAAATACTATGAGACTTATTAGGTGTGCTGTGATATTGTGGGTCTTACATGGCAGCTCCAGGCCGGTGTGTCCCATGGTGGTGCGGGACAAGGGAGGAGATTGTCGACCATCAGCCATGTCTGACTCTGAGTGATTGGCTTCCCCGTGCATCACTGCCAGCCCAAGTCGCAGCCTCTCAGCGTAGGACTGAGCTCTGAAGCAGACAGACACGCAGACACAAGAGTCAAAGAAACTGACAAACACAACACACAAACAAATACACAGGCAAAAGAGAGCAGGCAGAAGTTTGCAAGTTTGAACATGCGTATAAAGACATGACGCGATAATATGAAAAGACAAAAGCACAACAACGACACAACACAAATGAACCTTCTCACTATGACAGCAGGAGAAGTGATACACATGTTAAACATTGCAACTACAGAACTTAAGGACATCAGGACTTCTGAGTTCTGAGTGTTCCCAGCTTGCTTGTTACCTCCTGGCAGCTGAAGGGGACTTAGCAACAATTATAGCGTTCCTGTAGTCTGGGATCTGAGGAGGAAGAGAGATTATTTTTGGTGCTAGGATGGATGGATAGGAACTACAATATTTTAACTTTAACCATAATAGGAACTACAATATTTTAACTTTAACTATAAAACTGTTCCAAAATCTTGTTTTGAAGACAAATCACTGTTTGTGTGATGCTGTGCGTGTATGTAGCCTCACCTCCTCCTGGATGTACTGGATAAGGAAGGGAGAGGCTCTAAGGTTGTCAACTGGGAAGCCAAAGAATCCCTGGATTTCTTTCTGGTGGAGGTCCATTGTGATGATGTGAGTTAGCCCTGTAACAGTAAAGGCATACATTACATCCATGGGTTAGTTCGACTTCAAGAGTCAACTCTGCAGTGACTGAAGAACAACATAAAGAGTGGCAGGCATCACATAATATATGACTGTCATTTTGTTATGAGCAACAAAAGCTTTGGACAAACCTAAAGGCAAGTTGAAACCTACATAGAGAAGGGAATGGGGGCGAGTGCACTAAACTAACTTCAGGGAAAACTAAGTATTTACTGGTGTATCTCCCTAGAGCACAAGTGATGTCTTTAATCTATACATACACCTATCAGCCATAACATTATGACCACCTCCCTAATACCGTGTAGGTCCTGATTTGTTTGACAAAGGCATGAACTTCACAAGACCTCTGAAGGTGCCCACTGGTATCTGGCACCAAGACGTTAGCAGCAAATCCTTTAAGTCCTGTAATTTGCGAGGTGGGGCCCCAATGGATTGGACTCGTTTGTCCAGTATATCCCACAGATGCTAAACTGGATTGAGCTCTGGGGAATTTGGAGGCCAGGTTAACACCTTGAACTTCTTGTTGTGCTCCTCAAACCATTCCTGAACCATTTTTTCTTACGGCAGGGTGCATTATCCTGCTGACTCCTGAAAGAGGCCACTGCCATTAGGAAATACCGTTGCCATGAAGTGGTGGACTTGGTCTGCAACAGTGTTTAAGTAGGTTGTCAAAGTAACCCAAGCTTTCCCTGCAGAACACTGCCCAAAGCATCACACTGCCTTCGCTGACCTGTCTTCTTACCATAGTACCACTGTTGGTCGGTACTAACCACTGCAGACGGGGAACACCCAACAAGGCCTGCAGTTTGGAAAATGCCCTGACCCAGTTATCAGCTATTATAGTTTGTCCTTAGATTCTGACTCTTGCCCATTTGTCCTTCTTACAACACATCAACTTGCCGCTGTAATGAGATGATCAGTGTTCACCTCACCTGTCAGTGGTCATAGTGTTACAGCTGATCAGTGTATGTACTTTATCACAGACTATGATTTTATCTGTCAACACCAACTGACTGAGACTGAATTAAACCCTGTCAAACGTGTCTGATCAGTTGTCACACCCAACTCATATGTCATATTAGTTTAATGATCAAAATGAATGCGCTCATCTGAACAGGCCAGAATGCTTGTTGTATCAGTCTGTTCTGTAATCATTCAGTGCATATAAATAAGAAATCAATAGCAAAAGGAAATTACAAGGCAAAGTCCATACCAGCTTTATCTAACATGGATGCTAGCAGCTTGCAAACAATGGATCCTCTCTTCCTCATCTTGCACTGCTTGCTGTAAGGAAAGTAGGGAATGACGCCGATGATGTTCTTGGCACAGGACGTCTTCAGGGCATAGGCCATGACCAGCAGCTCCATGATGGCTGTGTTGACATCTCTAAGAAATGACACATTCAGTTCAAGAGACTGTATTAAAAACAGATGGATGCAAACAGTTTGGGCCTATGGTTGTCCACGGGGAAGATCAACTTGGTAAAAGGTAATATCAATACACACCGAATACAGGAAGCTCAAGACTGTAATGTTCCCTGCTGTGACCTCTGGCTGCCTTTCAGAGCATGCCTCTTTGTCATACCACATAAATGATTATCAGAGCCAATGACCATAGTTCATGTTGCCTTCACTGTTTCAGCTGCTGCAACGATAAACTTCATTTGAACTCGAAGCTTCTTGGATCATATAGAACAGGAGCATCCTTCTGTCTCACCTGGGAATGGTCTGAATGATGAAGATGTCTTGTCCACGGACGGACTCTCTCACGTCCACTCTAGTCTCTGGACACACACACACACACACACACACACACACAATCATTGTGGGTTCAAGTGCAAAATAAAGACAGCTCACTCATCAGCCCTGCTAATCCAAGACATTCGATGTGGATATTTAGCAGCTTTACCTGTGTTTGACTCTTGATAAACCACTGACTTGCCCAACTCCACACCTAAGCGTCTGTGGAGAAAAAACAACCAGGTCACACAACATTAAAAACACAAACACAAACACACACCTTTGTGTGTTTTTCCACTAACTGAAGCATGTGAGTGCTCTAGTGTGCACAAGACTATTGATTTTTTTTTGTGTGTGTGTCATTTGTGACCAGCAGCAGCCATTAAAAACTGACTGATCATCGATTATAAGAGAAGAGTTATTCCAATAAAAGAGGCAGTGGTGGTTTTATACAAACTCTACGTTGAAGCCATCACTGGGAGAGGCAGAAGTGAGGCAGGTATACCTGCTGATTGCCAAGTTTCAACCTGGCTGACAATGTTTGTCAAATTTAACAATAGCAAATGAACAGACTAAACAATCATTTATATTTTTAATTATCAGGGCATTTTCCAGCTTTACTCTGGGCTCTGATACCCTCAGGGTGCTGACAGCAGATGATGTTTCCACTGACTGACAAGCCATAAACTTTGAGTAGGCTTATTAATTCACAGGGTGAAACTGCCCTGTTGCATCGATGGAAACTCTGAACAAGCCCAGGCATCATGAACACAGCTGAGCCTTGGGCATTCCAGCTGTTACTATAAAAATGGAATAGTCACAATTAAAATTCTAAAAAAAAACTTACACTTAAAAGCGCACCACAGAGTGGCACGTTCTGCCAGTGCAGTCAACAGGGCTCCAGCAGCCTCGCCCTACCTCACTCAGCCTTGCTCTTATTCCAATGTTTGATATATACAACAATCATGTTTATGGTTCCTTATCATCGATATTGGCCATATTAGTTTTATTTTATATCATGCATGCAGCATGATATTTGCATTCATTTCTCTAACTGTGTTGTTGTGGAGTACTTGGCATGATTTGTACTTGGTAAATCACTATGCAGCCTTATAAACTGCTTCCTATTAATCACATTCAGTGATGTAGAAACATATGGTTATAAATTATGATGACTCTGCCAGAGTGGGCAAGGTATTCATTACCATTGTCTCTGCAGTCGTGTTAACCTTTGCTCCACAGCAAAGCTACAAGCTCCAGAATGAAAACAATCTTTCATTGTGTGGGTAATGCAAGTTCTGCTTGGCGGTGTGGCAAGTATGCAGGTGTGGAGCCAGGAAAAACACGGCTACCCCCTAATGTCACAAAGCTAACAACAAGAAGAGATACTGCTGTTTGCAGAGACTCAGATCAGTCAGTCACTGTGTGGACTACAAACACTTCCTACTGTTTTTGTCTGCATATCATTCTGCCTCTTACCTGGTTTTACTTGTTTTGTTACTGACCCATTACAATGCTCCATCGATCACTGCTTATTAAATAATGTCTGGCTACCTCAGTAACAACCAGTGAACAGTATCCATGCTCTGCTTACTCCCAACATAGAGCCATGCCGACACAACATGCTCCTTTCATCACAGTGATTCTCACTGACAGGTCCTTTCAGTCTCCCACATCAACACACAGAGGACAAATACTCCGATTAGTCTTAATCTAATAAAACAAATCTTTCATCTGCACTGTATAGTGTTATGGAGAACGCTTTGTTCATCTGCGAAGTTACTTTTAAGAACAGTGATTAAGGAAAATGGTAAAACTCTACATACATTATTAATGTATACATAATGTACTGTGACAAACGCCGTGCTGCTGAGTTATGGCACACTGTTTAAGCCGTGTTTGTAGGCTACAGCCTAACTTCACTGCCAGCTGTGGTCCAATGTCAGGTTAACAAAAACACACCCATCTTCTAAATGACAAACACAACATGCTGATAACCACGGTGCTGTTGCGCAGTTACAATCACTTACTCTGTGATCTTCTTCGCCAGCTCGGTGCAAGCGGTGGTGGAGTTGGCAGAGAAGACACGGTAGTCACTTCTTGACGTGTTCATTTTCGTGTAACCATACGACAGTTTGGGAATTTTAGAGTGAGCGATCAGAGACCGGTGACACCCAAAACGCCGAGTAGGCATGTTGCTCTGGAATCCGTTTGGTGTTCGGTTACGTTTCCCCCGATCCGTCTAATATTGCCCTTCCACACTAAAATACAAGCACCTGGTGGTTTCAATTTGCACCCTGCAGACGAATCTTAAAGTAAAAAAACAATACAGATAGCACTTAAGCTGTATCTCATTAATAACTAAAACAACACAGACCACATGCTCTGCAGGTAACGTGTTGGTGTTGGGGATTCAACAGCCTTCACATCGGCCAGCACCACAGTCTTTAGGGTCTACCGCTATGTCGACGGCAAAGGGAAAGCTGAGCTTCGCGTTTTCCATACCTTTCTCATCAACACAACACACACACCTTTTGGCTTCTGTAACGAGGAAGTGATATGTACAAAAAATTTGCACTGGGCGCTGCTACAATGTGGCAGAATCAAAACTCTGCTGGCTAATTTCAAATGCAGGTAATATAACTTTTTAGCAATGCAAGGGGTGCGTTTATTGGGTGTATGGCACGAGAGAGTGACGTTCAAAAAAAAAAAACAATCCTTCTTCTTCTTCTTCTGCTGCTGCTGCTGAGTCTTCTTCTTCTTCGGTTAATTGACAGTTTGGCAAAAACGAATTGGTGCATTACCTCCACCAACTGGTAAGGAGTGTGTGTCAAAAGAAAACCAATCAGAGACTAGATCGTAACAAAAGAGGCCGTGTTAAATATATTAGTACCGGTGCCAAAATATATCATCCAATCAGTGCACGGGATTCGAATGGCCTGTATTTAAAATGCATCTTGGTGCTTTACATGGATTATGGGTTTTTTTTTTTTGCCCTAAATATAACCTTTCAGGCATTCATTGGATTTAGACTATCCCCGTTTTTATTTATACTTATTTCTCTAGAGTGGAGAAATAAGCAGGCTGCTCAGTTCTCAAAGCGGTAGCTACTATTACATTTATGAGTAATTCCTGCATTCAGTTTAGCGTAAGTATAGCTTTATCTTTAAAATGTAGTATAAGTAGGTAAGTGATGCAGAAGTGGATTATATATGTGTGGGTTATATAGCTTACAGTATAACAATATATGCTATAACTATCACATTATTAATGATAAATGATAAGTTAATATATACACATAATGTTTGCCTACTTTATCTGCTTTTAGGTAACTTTGAAATTTAGCCTATCCTACTTTATAGCCTGTATTGTATATGTACTGAATATAAAACCTGAATGTACAAATCTTCAGCTCTCAGATACATGTAATAGAGGGCTATGTATAATATGTTATGTACACGTTTGCATACATAATTGAGTAAATGCACTTAGTTTCCATCACTGGCATCTTGGTGACGTAGAACCTTTTTTTTTAGAGATTCATAATACTGCCATCTCAAATGTGTTTTGTCAGAAAACATCATCTTACACTTCAAGGGATTAACCAGGACAATGTTCAGATTTACTGTACTGTATGTGGAAAAACAATCTTAATAAAACAGACATCATATCATAAAGTTCCTGACATACAGTGTAAGTGCTAATTTCTAAAGCATATGTTGCTGGAATGCCAACAGGAGATGAATCCAAAATAGCTGATTGCAAGTTACAAGTTTTTATTTGCAGAAGTTATTAAGTTCTAAGGTTATCAAATGCTTTTTATATGGTTTTATTTCTATGTTTTTACAACATAGGCTATGTTGTGGAAACCTAAGGAAAATAACATTTTAATTTAAACATTTTTATAAACAATATATACTGTAGAAGGACACAGTAGCAACTGGCATGTAACACAAGCAGAAAATAATGACATGTAAATCAATGGAAGCTGTAAATGAAAGAGCTCTTTTCATGAATTGCATGTTTATATAATACTGTAACTTTTAGCAATTACAGCGAGACAAGTCAGTACTGTAAAACAGGTACAGTACGCTGTACCTAGGTGTAACAACTTCAACTGAGGATGCTGGCAGAAAGTTGGTTACTTTATAGCAAAATTAAATACAGCACACTTAAAATGTGATATTATCACTTAATGTATTTTCAGTTTAAAATGTGTGAGTAGTTTCTGTATAATCTATAAGATGTTAACAAGTATTTCATATTTAGTGTGAATATTTTGCAGTAAAAAGTGCTTACAGTCAATGTCCAGTGAAAACAGTTTCACTCCAATTTTAATAAAAAAAAGTGGCTGAATAAAGTATGTATAAGGTTGAAAGTTAGGTAAATGCTGTGAGGTTTGCAAAAGCTTGAGCTGCACCATAACTTTAATGTTAATTGCTTGTATTGATTATTAGTTATCAATTATTAATTAGTAATTAATTATTCCTCAGAGGGGAATCCTTACACTGTGAACAGGGCTCAGACAAACTGTGCTGCTGGTCACACTAGGTTATTTTATTTTTTGTTTTTTTTGCTGATCATCCTTGCATCTTGCATGTGATCCTGTCTTCCAGTTTAGGCTCAGTGGATCATCACAGCTATGACACCGCAACACAACGTTCCCACAACGTTACAACTCTGTAACTGCAGCACCTCTAAATCCCTATGCCAAGAGGAATAAAGCACAGGCAGTGTCTACTGGGATCTATATACATCAGCTTTTTGCAGCTGGTTTATTCAAATATTGCTGCTTTTTAACACTGTTGTACTTTATGCACCAGTCACATACAGTACTGTACTGTGTATGCCTGCCTAAACCCATTTGTTTGGCTGTTTGTTTGAATGCACATCC